GCAGTATCGGAAGTGTCTAAAATAAGTTGAAATTTGACGTAGAAAAGACGTCTATATTGACAGCATTTGCACCATAAATTGACCGCATTTGCACCATAATTAGCGGTCTAGAGGACGTCAAAGCTAGACGTTTGACAGACGTCAAAAAAAAGACGTCTTCTGGCGTCACAGTCTGCACCTGCGAGGGACCAAATTTAGACGTCCAAAAATGACGTTGAAAAGACGTTGTTTAGACGTATCCTTGCTCAGTGGGCTGTATCAAATGACTTCTCCAAAATCCAGTCCACAACATTCAAACTCTCTGACATTATGTGCAGCTTGTTACCTAGCTAACTCGCTAGCTGGGACTGGCGCGAGGCTAGAGTGAAGTGTGTCCGCCTTTAACACAAGCAGATACAATAAAACCCACCAGAAATAAAAACTCGATTTGTCACTAGTCGTTTTTAACAAAGAAAATGCCGCTAAGAGGATTAGGAAAGTCTCCCGCTCAACTCAGAACAGACACAAAACTAAAAACTGCTCCACTGAAAGTTTACACCAAAAGATCTCTGATTCGCTCATTTTGCTGTCAATCAAAAAGGGATTCAGGCTCAGACAGATCATCCAATCATCATGCAGAATCTGGGCGTCCGAGCCCGCCCACTGTTCCATAGACCCCCAGAGACGCTGAGCGTCTGGGGGCGGGACAAAGCCCAGCATTTATCCAATAACTTGTCTTGTTACGCTGCATTTTTTTGCTTCACTATTGAAGTCTGTAGACACTCAGTGTCCGGCTGTTTAAAGCTGTGAAGCTGAGGGAATAAGGGAAAGGAAAGCTGCGTCGTTACCAGTGATAAGAAGCTGATTCTGAACAAAAGTTGAGCACGTTGTAGTGCATATTCAGTCAATGACATGTACACACAACAGTTCATATTTGATCACTTATTTTTTTCATTTTAGGGGAAGCTGAGCTTCCCTTGCAGTCTTAGAGCAATTGCCTCTGTTTGTAGAGCAATGCAATAGATTTTGCTAGTTTTATTCTTAAATAATTTATGTGAGGATTCCATGTTAGTTTCTCATCAATAATGACACCCAAAAACTTTACCTCACTGACTCTACTGATCTCTACAGCACCAACTCTAAATGGAATATCAACAGATTTTTGTCTCTTTGTAAATATCATATAATTGATTTTGTCCAAGTTTAACGATAAATTTGGTGAGTTTAAACACGTTTTGTATTTTCACAAATTCATTCAGCTTGCATATTTTCTAACATTTGTTCTAAATCTTTACCCAAAAAAAAAAAAAAAAAAAAACGTTGTGTCATCAGCAAACAAAATGCATTTAAATAATCCTGACACATTGACCAAGTCATTAACATACAGGATAAACAACTTTGGTCCAAGAACAGAACCCTGGGGAACTCCACATGTGATTTCACAAAGTTCAGATCTGACATCATGTACTTGTAGAAATCAGTTCCTATTTTCCAAATAACTAGATATCCATTGTAATGCTGGTCCTCTGATACCATATTTTTTCAGTTTTCCAAGGAGAATGCTGTGGTCAATCGTGTCAAATGCTTTCTTTAAATCTACATAAATACTGGCGTAATATTGTTTTTTGTCAATAGCATTTGTTATATGTTCTATCAGTTCCATGAGAGCCTTTGAAGTAGAGTTATTGGCTCTAAAACCGTATTGACTGCTGCTTAAGATGTTATTTTTAATGATGAATTGATCTAATCTGATCACAAATATTTTTTTTCTAATTTTTTTGAGAATTGTGGTATTAAGGATATTGGTCTATAGTTACATACATACATTTCTCACCATTTTTATAAATTGGAATTACCTTCGCTATTTTAATCTTGTTAGGAAATGTTCCTGTTGAAAATGATAAATTACATATGTAAGTAAAAGGCTTAACAACATAGGACATGATCTCTTTAACAAACATCATATCCATATTTACCCAATCTTTTGACCTCTTATCTAACATTTTTTTACTGTTCTCATTATCTCTTCTTCATCAGTTTCACCAAGAAAGATGCTGTTTGCACAACCACTGATTGTTTCAATCACTTCATCATCAGCTTTCGGTATTTGGGCTACAAGACTTGGACCAACATTCATATAATAATGATTGACCTTTTTTAATTATAAATCAAAAAGCAGTTGAGACAGCAAAACTTACAGCAGAACTTGTGGGGAACAGACACAAGCAAAACAGTCACAATTAACACAAAGTGTACACTGCTGTGAACCAATGGAATATAAAGACCAACTAAATGAATTGAAACCATCAATACCGGTTCAGGGACAACTAGGAACAGGTGCAGGTCGGTGTGCCAGAAGAGAAACTCCAGTGCAGTGAAACAATCAAACAGAGAATACAGACTGATAAGAAACTTAAATATTACCATATATAAAGCTTACAGTACTTAAACAAACAAAAAGAACAATTCTGTTTTTCACTTTTGCTAAAACACAGTCAGTAAAACTTAAACACAATGAACACCACTGTCTTCATTCATTAAACACAATGACCCAAAATTGAATATACTCATTGCAAATGATGTGGCCACACCTCTCAGTTCAGACTACACAGTTTGCTGAAGGTTAAAGGTTATCATCCTGGAACCGGAAGGTCACCGGTTCGATCCCCCATCCAGCTGTCTCAGTTGTTGTGTCCTCGGGCAAGACACGTCAGCCCTAATGCCTCTGATGTGTCCCATCAGTGTATGAATGTGATCGGCACTGATTAGTCTCCATAATGATTGTACATGTTAGCTTTGTAGAGACCTAATAGAGTGCTGTGTGAATGGGTAAATGAGGACACAGATTGTATGGATAGATGAGTGTAAACTGCAGAGTCCTGACCTGTAGATGAGTGTAAACTGCAGAGTCCTGGCCTGATGATGAGTGTAAACTGCAGAGTCCTGGCCTGATGATGTTGCTCGTCTGTGTTGGCTCATTCTTTTGAACAGTGGCTGTTTTGTTTCACTGATGTATAACTGATCACAGTCCTCCTGGCAGTTAACAGCATACACAATATAACTCTGCTTGTGCCAGGGAACTGGACCTTTGGGATTAACCAGTTTTGCCATCATGTTTAGAGAATAAATGTCTCAGTTTATCTAAAACCCCCGCAATATACGGAATGACCATTGGTTTGGGTCTGTGTTTGGGGTCTTTATTTTCATCTGGTGCTATATTCAAAGTTTGCCCCACACACGGATTACTACTACTACTACCACTACTACTACTACTACTACTACTACTACCACTACTACCACTACTACTACTACTACTACTACTACCACTACTACTACTACCACTACTACCACTACTACTACTACTACCACTACTACTACTACTACTACTACTACTACCACTACTACCACTACTACTACTACTACTACTACTACCACTACTACTACCACCACTACTACTACTACTACTACCACTACTACCACTACTACTACCACTACCACTACTACTA